ATTTAAGGGATAAAATAATATAATTATAAAGAATAAAGATTTAGATAAATTAAGGCCATAAACAATTGGTGGATTTAAAGTTATAAGTCTAACTAATAGTTGTATAAATAGTTATACCACCCCCCCTGTATTTCGTTCACATCGTCTATTTTTTGTAAAGATTTTTTTAGCTTTTAAGCCAGGCTCATTTAATATCTGCATATTTGGTCCACTTAAAAATACATTAGATGCGACATTCCTAGTCAAAACAGGAGTAGGTGTCCGATCATGATTTGTAATAAACGCTTCAACTATTGTTTCTTCTGATATTTTATCGAGAGTCGTCAAAACTTCGTCTGTTGTTGGACGTTTCTGCGGATCAACATCCCAGCATTTATTATAAAGCTCAGAGAAATTAGATGGTGTACCAGGGATCGTATCTTGTCGATAACCTTGTACTATTTGCATACTTATGGCAATTCTATTGACAGCATTCTCAAATGGGGTAGTTCCGCTTGTAAGCTCCCAAAATATTACGCCTAAGCTAAAAACATCCATTTTTTGTAACGTTTGGTTCCAGGATGATAGAATAGTGGGTCAACATATGCTGGCGCGCCATCCGAAGTTTTAAATGACGAGACAAGACTATCATTCAATTTTCATGCTAAACCAAAATCCGCAATTAAGAATTTGCCATTATGAATTAAAATATTTTTAGAATGCTAAATAAATTAAATTATTAATTTAGATACTTTATAATAAATTATATTAAAATATAAGTCAAATATTATTAATTTATGCTTACTAAATCACAATGAATTATATTATTTTTGTGCAAAACTTTTAATCCGCGAGTAACTTGTTGAGCAATTTCGATAATTTCGTTCAATGAAATTTTAAAAGCATCATCATGCCATTTGTCTTTTAAATATTGCCGTAGGTTTCCTTCGTTAGCAAACTGCAATACTAGCACGAGATAATCATTGGAATCTAAGAATGCCATATGAAAAAATATTATTTAAGTGATTCTATGAAATATTTATTTAAATATACAATATTATTACCCATTGTAATCCCATAAAATTGGTTAATATTAGGATCAAATTTCATAGCACGTAATTGTTTAAGCTACAAAATTATGGCTTATTAGATCTGACCAAACACTGGAAAATAAATACTAATTCATTACCTCATTGACGAATTCTTTAGTCGCCTCTTTAGTTTTAAGATGTTTTAATGCAAACTTTTTTTCAATGTAGTCAGCCGAACTAATATCTCCAGGGTATTTTTCTGAAACATTTGGCAAGACATTAGTTTCCTTTATAATGATGATACGAGAAGGGTGTAATACCTTACCTATTCTTGCATTAACGTCATTGACATCGTTGACCACTTTTACCTATAAATTTTTAGAACCTGAAATAATTCACATAGATATAAATTATTTAATTGAAATCAAATCCAGAAACATGAATATTTGCTAGAAAAGTGTTTTACCAGAAATTATAATCCTTAAGACTAGAACCATATATAACATATAATATTATTAATGATCTTATACTTACTCACTGGTAATTTGGCAGGTAATTAAAAGGTAGTTAGAAGAGTATTAACGAACAATTTAAACCACATTTAAGGAAAACTTCATACTTTGATATAAGCTGAAAACTTGGTGACTTTCTGGAGGCGTTTTCCAGAGAATCATTATAAAGTTCTTGCAGTTTTTTTTATAACAATTAAGCAAAATGAAGTATATCACAGAGAAATTGATATTGGAAAATACTTGTATAATACCTTTTTTGAGATGATGACCTAAATATTCCCAAGAGATTTGGCACGATTCTTTACAATTTGTGACAATTGATTCTTGCTGTATCGTATGTATAACATACCAGAATAAATTACACGAATTATGTGCGGATTTTGGTGCCTCTTTTTCGAATAATGAATTAATTTCTTCGAATGAATGATTGATAATCTCCAAGCAGATTTTTGTCCTGGACCTGAATTTATATCATTTTATCAATAAGATGTGTGTGTGTCTATTTACGTGTATCCATTAAATCCAAATCCAATACATTACCATGAATGTAGGGTTACTTGAAATTTAGGATTAAATTTTGTTGAATTGTTGGAGGTTGCAATCATGTAATCTGGTGATAATGATAGCAACCCCACCTTATCCATTTCATTCTTTATATTAATCTTACGTTTTTGTTTATATGAAAGTGTAATATCGACTGTGCCGGTTAAAATCTGCGTATTTCTGGTTTTGTTACTAAAATACTTAACAGACATCGGTTTTCCAATCAATATCCAGTAGACAATGGAATAACTAAAAAAAAAAAAAAAAAGTTAATTTGAAAACAAAACATTGTAGTAAAAGAAATCTATACAAACTCTTCAATTGTCTCTTTTGATATCTCTTTGTTATCAATATCCTCAATAACAACGGAAAATCCCGAGACACTTAGCATTTGAAATCTTAAATTTAAATCCGGTCTCTTTAGATTATTTGAAACTATCGAACCAATAACTTGATAATTATCACTTTTTAAGAAAGAATCAAAGTCTACTTTTCGAACCTTATTATTTTCGAGCTTAAAATAACCACCCATCAAAACACGCTCTTCATTGCTTAGTAAAATTTCTATTTCATTTTGCAAATCTTCTTTAAGAAGTTTATATAAAGGTATAAATTGCATGCGGTTAATAATTTTCCATGAATCTGGTTTCTCAGAAATATTATTTAGATACAGATCAATGTCATTTATATTGTTCATGCTAACTGTTGAATTGCCATTGGACAAATAAAACTTTGCTGAATCCATTTTATGTTGATTAAGGAAATTTTTCCATTCATCCAAAATCTTATAACAGTTCGTTATTTTTTCAAATCCATTGCTTGTTATTTTTGTAAGGCTTTCCTGCTCAAGATGCGTAAATTTGTTTAGATTGGACAATCTTTCACCAACGGCAAAATTTAAACAAAAAACTTGTCCATATTCTTTAAAGATTTTCTCCAGATAATGGTATGGACTTTCTTCTTGTAACGCATTTTTAATAGCGTCTTCAAATTGCTTAGAAGGTCTAATTTCATCCTTAGGGATGGTAAATAAGATTTGTTCATACATTATGTCACAATGAATGACATTTATGGGTAAAACATTAATGGTCAAGTCCACAAATGGGATACTATCCAATAAGATCTGGGAACTTTTAAATGTATCAATGTAACTCATAGTATAGAATGAATCTTTTTGTGTTGCTGCATATGAAATACTTAACATTTTTTCTGGTGAATTGAGAAATTCGATAGAAGGCTCAGATGTTAATTCTATAGCAGGCTTAATACCGGGAGTAAACCCGCTTGAGTTAATCACTAATCCATGGTTTAATTGGCATTGTTGGATCCATTTTGGAATTTGTATATATATATTATTACTTCCTAACCAATCTTTCATACTAATCTCTGCATGATAAACTGAAATATCTGGTACAAGACGTTTGTCAAAGTATTTTGGACATGATTTTGCCATAGCAATTTCTTTCCATGTCTTTGCGTCTAAAAAAGGCTTCACTATTTCAATAGCAATTATAGAACTATTTCCATCTTCATACAATTCTGGAACTTGCTGGCGATATATAGTATATTGTAAAAAAAATGAAGATAATGTAAACGTTGTTAATAATAATAATATTGATAACAATAATAAAAATAATCGGAATTTTGATGGTAATAACAATACATTGCTTCTTACCACTTTTTTCATGTCATTCAATGGATTACCGTCCAAGTCTTCAATAGAAGGGAATCTTGAATCTAATTTTGACTCTGTAAATA